GAGGGCTTACAGGTTAACTCTTGTAATTTTCTTCTACCAAGCGTGGATCAGCTCCTGTAGTAGCTATCTTTAATTTGCAACAGGTGGTATATGGCGATGAGATGGGCTTCTTCAGCTCTTTATTTGGCAGCTCTCTTCTGTAATCCCCTCTATGTTGTCATGAAATTTCAGCAACACAAATTTGTGATCCTGCCAGGTAATCATGATGATTTAGAAAGAAATGTTACCCAGGACTATGTACTGTACTAATATTCGGAAAAATGTATGCTTGTATCTCTTTCAGGTCCGTGCTAGCTATTTATTTGAACATTCCGATAATATGTGCAAAAGGATGATGCCCATATTGACTAATTTTCTCTCTTTTGTAGGTCAAAAAAATGGTCTTGTGTGGGTTACAAACCAATGCTTGCTTGCGTACACTCTGGTGCTCCAGTTAAAGATCCAAAGCTATAATGTACTCCTTCCGTTTCCTTTTAGACTGCATATAACTTTTGTCTGAAGTCAAGGTATCTTTATTTTGACCAAACTTATAGAAAAAACATATCAACATTTACAAGGCCAAAAAATATCTTTAGATTCATTATGGAATTTAGTTTCATATTATGTATATTTTGTATTGTAGATGATGATAATTTTTTATACAAATTTGGTCAAAGTTTGTAAAGCTTGACTCAACATAAAACTTATATGCGGAGTAAAAAGGAATGGAGGGAGTATTGTGATGAGTAACCATCAGTTGGTGAAGCCATTCTCTTATGAATACTACTGCATCTCTCTCATCTCTTTTATTGAGTGAGCACTTGCGACGGGACATGCAGGAACAAAAACCACAAGAAGAGTACAAATGAAGTCACAACGAGCTGAGCAGAGTAGCTGGCGATCAAATGATTTCGGGTCCCTGCTAGCTATTTCTGATCTTGAAGCTATTCCTTCAGGACACATGATTACACTATATTACAAGTTGAAAAAGTGTGTAAAGTGGAAGTTAGTACTAAAGCGGATTGCTCTTTTTGAACCGCCAACAAATTTTAGTCATAATATGTGCCATTCAAGTGGAAACACAAACTAGGACGTGCAATTTTTTTCCCGTTGCAACGCACGGGCCCTCTTGCTAGTATAAAAAAAAAGGAAAGGACACGGAACGAAGACCCTCCAAACCACGTTGCTGGAAAAAAAGGAGTAATGCTAACTAAAATCAGGTGGGGGGGAGAAGATTGATTAGTGTTTAGATGCCCGTGAGATGCCCGTATTCGTCCGTGCGTCTAGGCCTTTTGAAAAAAAAGTGGGTAAAAAACTCCCAAACCCGCTGTTGGGTTGGTCTCTGCGCTGGCTGCCCTCGCCATGGAGGACGATGGCCATCCCGACCCCTACCTTGATCTCCCCCCTGAAATCGCCGAGGAGCGGCGGCGCGCTGCTAGACTCGCTGATGAGCGCCGCCGCCAGCACCGCGAAACCGCTCTTTGTCTGCTCTCGCCGCCGGCTCCTGTCGCCATGGACGGCGATGCTCCTCTCGTCTCGTTCCTTGATCTTCACCCTGAACTCGCCGAGGAGCGGCGGCGCCCCGAACCGTCATCTTCCCATAAAACTGACTGAGCTTCCGCCCCTTCTGCATGCCCATCTCTTACCCTCCTCACATGCTTACTTCCCGTCATAAAAGGAATTCTTTTGCTCCCACCCCCCACACAAAATAAAAGTGCAACTTTGATGGCAATTGCGAGTAGAACCACAGCTTCCATCCGTTTTTGTTCAGAGGGACGGAACAAGCTCAAACGATATGCTTGTTATTGAAGCCTCCTTCAGTTCATTGCTAGTACTAGTACTATGGGATTAATTAAATAGTGATCTACCCTATATGGATCCAGATACTGTTTGTACCTGCATGCAAACTCACACCTCCAGACATGCATGTGAGGTACTTATACAGTATACTACCTCCATTCCAATGAATAAGTCACGTGCACACATTTCAAAATTGAACTTTGGCCATAAATTAGATCAATATCTATTTCTTATGGTCAAAGTTGAATTTTGAAATGTGTGTGGGTCTTATTCGTTGGAATGGAGGGAGTAAATTAACAACGCATAAGTATGCGAGGTTTTATGGAGAGAGGGAGTCTTAATGATAGATCTACCTAGAAATTCTTGGTTTACAGAACAAGCATGCTTTTGCTAGATGTGTCTTAGACTGTATAGGTTTGATAATTTATGCTTTAATTGATAATTTATGATGATCTGAGTAATTCCTTTTTTCTTGTGGGGTATGCAATCCTGTGTGAGAATGACAGCCATATGGTGGATTGTTCTTAATTAAGTTCATGCTGATCTGTAGGACCTACATCCTCCACAGTGAAAGTATCACCTCCCAAGCTTTTGCTTTTAGCAGATAGCTGCTCTGCCAACTGAATTTTATCCGAGCTTATCAACCGGATCAAGTGCTTAATTACAAATGAATTCCCAACTTCCACTGATCCTGCATTCCTGCATCGATCATGATGCCACAAATAACACCCGATAAAGATTCTCATGGAAAAAAATCACCTCATCCCTAGTTGTATAATCCAGGAGCTCTGTATTCACCTCTGCTTCTCAAAAGTTTTTTCTAAATGTGAGATAAGCTGATCAGAGGATGTTGGAGTTATTCTGACCACACCATAGTTCAACCTAAGCAAGTCAAATTCTTCTGTGTTTAGAGGGTCTAGCATCTATTCAATAATGGCTTAAGCTGGTCGGTGGCATGTTTATAGAAACATCAGGCCGACCTGAACGACCTCTCAACATTTGTTTCTTGATTTTTCTGTTTCTTAATCTCCAGCTCTATGTTGTTGTTTTGTTTGCAAGCCTTAAAGGTATTAAACATAAGAAAGAAGCCACAAAGCACATAAGTAACTGCATATATGGATCGAATAACCAAAACTGGAAATGGACCAGCATGTCAACACACGCCAAAATGCAAACGTTGTGGATTGAACTGTTGCTGTTCGGTCAACTGCTATCACTATGTAGTTAATTAAATACGGAGTATAAACCTATAGACGCACAAAATAATGCTCTAGGTTGTAACTTGTGATACCACCAACAGGGCCACAACATCTGGCCTTACATTTAAAGCAATCAAGGGTTGTTTTGCTATGCAGATATATCTTCACTTGCTCAATACTAAGTAACAAAGATTCATTATGCATTGCATAACATTGTGTATTTCGAAATCCTCGTCTTGTTTTGTTTCTGTGTATGTCTGTCTTGTTTCTGTGTATAATGCCTTGAGCGGGAAGGAAGTCTTGTCTTGTTTCTATGTATGTCTGTCTATTCCATCAGAAT